AGGTAGGCGCGAACACACAGGACACTTGTCCCTCTCAAAAAAGGGACACAAAAAGTGCCCTAAAAAATTGTCTTTTTATTTTACCAATGTATGTGTAAGCTATCCTGTCAAACTGACATATATTTGGAAATAGCCAATTTTCTTTTCCACACAAGTAAAAGCGGACTTCTTGTTTCCATTTCTTTTTTATGACGACAGCTGCGGTCTTCAACTCTGTCCAGGCAGCGGGGGGGGGGGAAGTGCCGTGGCAATGGACCTCGGCTCACCTGCAACCTCCGCCTCCCGTTCAAGTCGCTCCTCCTGCCCTCAGCTTCCAAACTGAGTAGCTGGGACTACAGTCATATACCACCATGCTTCGGCAAATTTTTGTTAATGGTGTATATATACAATTTGCGTAGAGATGAGTCTCCCAAACTACAGCTAATTTTTATATTTTTAGTAGAGATGGGGTTTCACCATGTTGGTCCGGATGGTCTGGATCTCCTGACCTTGTGATCCGCTTGCCTTGGCCTCCCAAAGTGCTGGGATTACAGGCATGAGCCACCACGCCCGGCCCCCAGTTTTTAATGTACAATTTACATAGAGTAAAATTCACCGTTTTTAATGTAAAGTTCTTCAGATTTTAATTGGTCTATGTAGTGATGTAACCATCACCACAATCAAGATGTAGAATGGTTCCATCACCACCCACCCCCAACCCTCACAAAAAAAATTTCCTCTTGGGTGTTTGCAGATACTCCCTCTCCATTTTCAGCCCCTTGGTAACCCACTGGGCTCTGTCCTTTTTTGCTATAATTTTACCTTTTCAAGGATGTCATCAAAATGGAATCATTCACTGTGTAGCTTTTGAGACCAGTTTCTTTCTTTTTTTTTTAATGATTGTAAAACATTTTATTCTCAGTAAGAATAATTCCACTAAAATTATACGAAATAAATTCAATACTTAAAAGTGGCAAGGGAAGAGAGAGGAGGAGAATAATCCAGTTTGGCCTGGATGCTTTTTTCTTTTTCTTTTTTTTTGAGATGGAGTCTCACTCTGTTATCCAGGCTGGAGTGCAATGGTGCAATCTCCTCCCACTGCAACCTTTGCCTCCTAGGTTCAAGCAATCCTCCTGCCTCAGCCTCCCCAGTGGCTGGGATTACAGGCGCCTGCTGCCACACGCGGCTAATTTTGTATTTTTAGTAGAGACGGGGTTTCACCATGTTGGCCAGGCTGGTCTCCAACTCCTGACCTCAGGTGATCCATTCACCTCGGCCTCCCAAAGTGCTAGGATTACAGGCGTGAGCCACCGCATCCGACCTGGATCCATTTCTACACTGAATATAATACACTTAAAATCCAGCAATGCTGTTGGCCAGGTGTGGTGGCTCACACCTGTAATTCCAGCACTTTGGGAGGCCAATGTGGGAGGATTGCTTGAGGCCAGGAGTTCGAGACCAGCCTGGGCAACATGGCAAAACCCCATCTCTACTAAAAATACAAAAAGTAGCCAGGCATAGTGGTGGACAGCTGTAATCCCAGCTACTCAGGAGGCTGAGGCAGGGGAATCACTGGAACCCAGGGGACGGAGGTTGCAGTGAGCTGAGATTACACTAGTTCACTCCAGCCTGAGTACTAGTGTGAGAGTCCATCTAAAAACAAAACAAAACAAAACAAAAAATCATCCATGCTGTTATGGGTATGAGTGTTTCATTTCTTTTTATTGGTGAGTGGTGTTTCCTTGTATGGATGTGCCACAGGTTTTTTTTTTGTTTGTTTTTGTTTTTGTTTTTGAGACGGAGTCTCGCTCTGTCGCCCAGGCTGGAGTGCAGTGGCGGGATCTCGGCTCATGCCAAGCCTTCCGGTCCTCCGGGTTGTGCGCATTCTCGCTGGCCTGAGGCCTCCCGAGTAGCCTGGGACTACAGGCGCGCCACCACGCCGGCTAATTTTTTGTGTTTTTTAGTAGAGAACGGGTTTTCACCATGTTAGCCAGGTGGTCTCCATCTTCTGACCTCATGATCACCCCGCCTCGGCCTCCCAAAGTGCCTGGGATTATAGGGTGAGCCACCGCGCCTGGCTCTGGATGTGCCACAGTTTAAATGCATTCCCCAGTTGAGGGACATTTGAGTTGTTTCCGGTTCGGAGTGATTATGAACGCAGCCATTACCAGCATTCAAGTACCGGTTTTTGCATGAACGCATGTTTCCATTTTACATACCTAGGGTAAAACCCTAGGAATGAGATTTCTGGGTTGTGTGGTAAGGATAAGAAGCATATGCTTAACTTTATTTTTATTTTT